TTCACCATATGAGGTTTGGCCTCAAGATCCTTGAAGTCAGCCTCCTTCACCCCAGACATGGTTTGGTAATAGTCTAGGTTCTGCCGCATCTCCATGTGGTCTGGGTTGCCCACAAAGAAGGTGTGTGCTGCTGCTACGGCCTTCTCCAGCTTGTTTATCTAGGAAAGAAGTGCAAGAGCATAATTCTCACATCTGAGATCTGAAGGTCTGCTGGGGATTCAATCAAACAGAAAAAGCCTTGTGTGCAGAGTTGGAACCAACCCTCCAACAGGTTTTCAGAGGTAGTAAATAACATGGAAATTTACTGCCTGTCTTTCTCCCATGGAGCAAGTGGTGGGTTTGAACCATGTGCCTTTGGGCTGGCAGCACCACTAGGTGTCCAAATGTGCAAACCACAGTAAACAGGAAATCTCAGCTTTCCTATGCCTGTCTAGGTACCATAGCTCAGCCTGCCATTCAAACATGTGGCCAGCTCCTGCTAGCCCCAGAAAACATGCCCAGGGTAGGGCCTGTACACTTGAACCCAAGAACACAGTGCCCTAGGAAGATTTTCAGCTATTTCCCAAATCAGGGTTAGGAACACCCTAAATTATAGGAGGTGGTACTTCAGAAACATAAAGCCTCACTCTAAAACAAAGATTAGATTGTATGGGGCATGAATGGAAGACTGCTCAAATAATCAGTCTAGAGACTAATGTGTGCCCAATCCAGGCCATGGTCTTTGCAATTACTTGCTATGCATCAGAGAGCTGGACAATGACCAAGGATTGACAAAAGAATCTATGCCTTTAGTTGTGGTGCTGGAGAAGAGTCTTGAACACACTATGGACTCCCAAGAAAACAAATAGGTCTGTCTTGGAGAGAGTGAAACCAAGTCCCTTCTTGGAAACTAAGATTTCAAAGCTCCGTCTCACATATTTTGGGCACGTGACCAGCGGAGATCAGTCTTTGGAGAAGGATATCATGCTTGGAAGGGTGGAGGGACAGTGCAGGAGAGGAAAACCCCGGGTGAGATGGATTGATACAATGACTGCAGCAATGGGGGTTGTTGTGCAGCTGCTATATATAGGGTCACTATGGGTCACAGGTGATTTGATGTCACATAACAACAACAACAAGGCTCAAATGTGGTGACAGAGAAAAGAAAATCTAAAGCTTTAAGGGTTTAGGAGCAGAGAAGAAAAACTATGCCTAAGAATTTTCCTAGAAAATTCTTTTTTAGAAAATAAAATTAAGTCTTTTTGATTTATTCAGGAAAAGAGTGAATAAAAAACCATAAGTTCCTTACAAATTCAGACATGGAATCTTCTGACTCAAAGATCAGCGTTCATAGGAGATTAAAACAATTGAGTATATTCAGTTAGAGAGAAAAAATGTTAGAGGTTTTAACAATGCCCACAGCATTAGATTCCAGTACTGCAAAATAACATCAGGTTATATACTATTACTACCCTTCACTATCATGTGTTGGAACCAACTCTCAGTTGACTCTCATTGGGTTTCTGAGGCTGTAAACTGCATGGGAGAAAACTACTTATCTTTTTCCACAGAGCATTGGTGATTCTGAACCATCAGAGATATGCCATTGGAGTTATCAGCACCAGATTCCCCCTTATAGAACTCCTAAACAAATCACTGATGATCTAGAGCTTCACCACATGGGCATATTGGCATTAGGAAGACTGGTGACAGATCTAGGTTTTATTATTCTGATATAAAGCTTAGGTCTTTAGACAAGTTATCTAAAGTTTACTCTTGAACCCTTATCTTTTGTATGGAGACAGCACTATCTACCTGATAGGATTGTTGCATGAGTGAACTGAGATTATAAATATCACTTAACACAAGGTGTTGGACTCATATTAAGGATTCAATTTATTTTAGCTGGTCTATTGAATCACTTGTTATGCATCAGAGAGTTGGACAATGACTAGGGAGGATAGAAGAAGAATTGACGCCTTTGAGCTGTGGTGCTGGAGAAGAGTACTGAATGTACCATGGACTGCCAAGAAAAAAAATAGATTCATCCTAGAGAGGGTTAAACCAGGTTGCTCCTTGGAGGCAAGGATTCTGGGGCTTCGCCTGACATACTTTGGACATGTTGTAAGGAGAGACAGGTCTTTGAAGAGGGACATCATGCTGGACAGAGTGGAGGGACAGCGCAGGAGGGGAAGACCCTCTATGAGGTGGATTGATTCAGTGACTGGGGTAATCGGGATGGATGTGTCAGAGGCAGTGAGATTGGCACAGGATAGAGCAGGGTTTAGGGCTGTTGTACATAGGGTCGCTATGAGTCGCAAGCGACTCGACGGCACATAACAACAACAACAACATTGATGCCTTTGAGCTTTGGTGTTGGAGAATAGTATTGAGGGTACCATGGACTGCTAGGAAAACAAACACATTCATCCTGGAAAGGGTCAAACCGGGTTGCTCCTTGGAGGCAAGGCTTCTAGGGCTCCGTCTAACATACTCTGGGATGGGTGTGTCGGAGACGGTGCGATTGGCACAGGACAGAGCAGAGTTTAGGGATGTTGTACATAGGGTCGCTATGAGTCGCAAGCGACTCGATGGCACATAACAACAACAACAACAACATATAGAGAGCCCATAACATCCTTCAAACATATATCTGAACTCAATCTCAAGGGATCATCGTTAAGCCAAACAACACTGAGACCAATAAAAGTTAATAATACTGAAATGCAAAACAAAAGGTACAAAAGTCAAAGGTCTTAATTATCTCTACAAGAACTAGAATGTAGAAGGTATTCAATAAACGCTTGTCACTTTCTAGGAAAATGGCGCCGAAAGTGAAGAAGGAAGCCCCTCCCAAAACTGAAGCCAAAGCAAAGGCATTAAAGGCCAAGAAGGCAGTCCTGAAGGGTATCCACAGCCACAAAAAAAGAAGATCCGCACGTCATCCATCTTTCGGAGGCCTAAGACGCTGAGACTCCGAAGGCAGCCCAAATACCCCCAGAAGAGCATCCCCAGGAGAAACAAGCTTGACCACTATGCCATCATCAAATTTCCCCTGACCACTGAGTCAGCCATGAAGAAGATATAAGATAACAACACACTTGTGTTCACTGTGGATGTCAAGGCCAACAAGCACCAAATTAAACAAGCTGTAAAGAAGCTCTATGACATTGATGTGGCCAAGGTCAACACTTTGATTAGGCCTGATGGAGAGAAGAAGGCCTATGTTCGACTTGCTCCCAACTATGATGCTTTGGATGTTGCCAACAAAATTGGGATCATCTAAACTGAGTCCAGCAGGCTAATTCTAAATACAAATTTTTCTAAGACAAAAAAAAAACAAAAAAAAAAAACAACCAAAAAACTTGTCAATGAATTCTAGAAAGCTCTGTTAATTACACGTCCAAAGACACAGCCTCATTACTTTGGTCTCAACTAGAGTAAACAGGAGTCATGGAGAGGGATTGGGTCAACTAAATTGAAGGCTAGTGGAGAGTTAGAAATCAGAGATCGCCAAGATACTTTGTCTCTTTCTAGGTTTAACGGAAAGTCCTTTAAATTATAGATATTATAAACATGCAGCACAGCTTGTTCTTTTTTTATGTTTTAAAACGTTAAGTTCTAAAGACCTCGCCTGGAAAGATACACAGTCTCAATACCACTATTGTCACGCAAGGGAGAACGCAAGACCATACGTATATTTGCACTTACTCAGGCATTCTTAAAAATACTAATTTACTTTGGAAACTTGACAGACTAGAGAGGGGTCCCCACACAGGGAGGGGCCAGGCAACCCTCGCTGGCGACGTGGCATCTCCCGTCCTGAAATGAGAGCTGCTAGATTCGGGCAGCAGGAAAAGCCTGGAGGTGGGGGGCTGGAAACGAACCGGAAGGAAGATGTTGTAGGAAGATGTCTGAGCTTCTCACTTGGACACTTGTAAAGAGGTTAGGATGAGAGGCCCAAGCTGCCACTTTAATTTCTCCTGGGAGGCCTCCCACGGAACAAGAAGCCAAGTTTTACTCTGTCCAAGAATTAACTTCAGGTTGAACCACGGAGGTTAGGATTGTCTGCAGGGTAGGTCTCCCTGCAGGTCCCTACTCTCTTTGGGTCCAGGAAGAGGTCAAAGGATGCTTCCCGGCTAGGAGACTACTTTCCCCCTCTACTGACACTTCCCTGGCCCTATGACCTCCCCTGGTCGCCTAAAAACACGCCTTTCCCAGAAAACCCCGACCACCCGGCCCCGGGCAGGGCTGCACCTTGAAATAGGCGACTTGCAGGTAGTTGTAGGGGCTCCTCTTGAGGAATTCAAACTCCAACTCCTCGCTAAGGGAGTGGGCGCCCGGTGGCCCGAGGCAGCGGCGCAGGCAGGCAGCACGGCGCAGAAGGCCCCCGAAGAAGTGCAGATCGTGCAGGGCAGAGGCGCCCGAGGCCTGGCCCGGGCTCGGGGGAGAGGGGGCGTCCAGCTCCCACGGGAAGTCAGTGGCACAGCGGGTGCGGCAGCGCAGACGGAGGGCACGCAGGGCAGCTCGCGAGCGCAGCGCCCGCTCCATGTTCAGGACCACCCCTGCCCAGTCCGCACGAGCATAGGCCGCAGTTCCCTCGGCAAAGAGCAGATCAGGCGTCGCCATGTCCCATGCCGCCTCGGATTCGACCTCGGCCGGAGAGGCAGCGGCGGCGGCAGCCAACAGAGTGGCCAACAACATCAACTTGTGTGCCGCCATCTCTTCTGCAAACCTAACGGGACCGAACTCCACCCGCCACCCGCCTCCAGGGAAGCCCCGCCCTCTAGCAAAGTCCCTCCTCCCGGGGCAACGCCTGTCTTACAGACACGCGAGGTCTGAAGGTTTCGATCAGCATGGAATCCCGCCCACTCGGCTGGAGCCCCGCCCCCGAGTCGGGCGGTGCTGTGCAACTCTGATCCTCAATGGCTCTGAAATACGGAAGCTCCGCCCATCAGCCTTTTTGCGCATGCCTTTTGGACTTGCACCGCCCCAAAGGTGGGGGAAGGTTAAGTGCTGTCATGGAGGCCTCTTCAACCCCATCAAAGGCTGAAGGAGTCATTGAAAATCAAGGAGTGCAGTTGGCGACAGGTGAGGCAGGGGCGTGTGGCGGGAGTCAGAAGTGGGAAAGAAGCCTTGGTGGAGCAGCTCTCCTCGCGGGTTCCGCGGGATGCAGAGGGCCGGAGCTCACAGCCTGTGTTCCTGGGTGTGTGTCGCAGGAGCCCTGGTGGAGCTCACGCCGACCTCCGGCGGCCTGGCCCTGGTGAGCCCTTACCACACCCACCGGGTCGGTGACCCCTTAGACCTCGTGGCGCTCGCCCAGCAGGTGCAGAAGGTGAGCAGGCGCGGCTGGGGAAGTAAATAACCATCTGAGTTCATGTTTGTCCCGGACCTCGTAACTCTTAGTGTGGGGTAGTATTTGTTTTGTCCATTCTATGGACAGGGAAAGCTGATTGACAGAGTCAGTGGCCTGACGCGAACCTTGATTTGAGATAAAAGTCTTCTTAAATTGCAACTTGAGTATCGTAATTTCCGTGGGAAGTTTGTACAGCACTAGTCATGATTCAATATTCCTGATTTCACTTGGGCAATCCCAGAAGATAGACAATATCTGCATTATTCATGTAGTTGACACAGAAATGGAGCTCTGCTGGTCTGATGATAAGGTGCACTGCCAACCCAAAGGCAGCCTGTTCGAATTCTCCAGCTGCTCCTCGGTGGAGATGGGCAGTCTCCTCCCACGTGATTGACAGCCTCCCACTGGAGGAGTCGGTTATGAGTCGATTCCCACTCGATGGCATTGAGTTGAGTTTGAGTTGACATAAAAGACAGGTTCCTGGGAAGTTTCAAGATTACTGTAACCCAGATAATTCTGGGATGCATGTTATTTATTTATTTTATTTTTTTTTTCGTTTCAGTGGCATGGATTTTAACTCATAGTGACGTGTGTGAGCAGAACTCCGTAGGGTTTGCAGGGCTATGAACTTTCAGAAGCAGATCCATCGGCCTTGTGGTTCACTCATTTTAAACTACTTCCAATAAGATCTTTATCTGTGATTACTAATAAAATTTATCATTGTTTAGTACGGAGCACCTGTGGTCTGTAGGAAGCTGAGCTAACCTAAAGACGACATTTCTCAGCAAGTTTAAACCCACTAGTTTGCCTCCCGAGAGCAATGGGTTAGTCGCCTCCAACCTCTAACCATTGGGGGTCAGCTATGAGTAGCTTCTTACTCAAAGGTAATGAGTAGTGTGAGGCAGGTAAGGACTCCTCTAAGTTTTATTAGGTGTTTGGTATTACTAAGACCAGCTATTAGACACTGACTTCTGAAATTTAAAAAAACTCAAAACTGCAGTGCCGTGGAATCAGAACCGACTCATAGCAGACCCTCCCTTTTCGGAGCCTGTAAATAGCATGAAAGGAGATTGCCCAACTATTTAAACCCTATGAGGTGCTGCTGGATTCGAACCAATAGGGAGATGCCACCTGTGGTGTAGCAGTGCAAACCCCTTATGAGCTATGCTACTCGAACTCCCTACTGAAATCCATTGACCACAGCATTCTTAAGGCTAGAGCTGAGACATTGACTACAAATAGAGGAAAGATGAATTAATAATAATAAAACAAACCTGGGAGTTTGAATAGAGGAGTTTTAAGCTCACTGTTGTTACTATGCATGGCCATTTCAGGCAATTTATTTCATTACTTTCTCTTTAGCCCTTTAACGAGGTCCAACAATGAATGAATGAAAGTCCAACCTTGTTAAAATAACAGTTTAAAAATTTACAAAGAGAGCTCCGGTGGCCTAGTGGCAAGAATTGCTGTGCAGCAATCCCAAAGACATGCAGTTCTAATCCACCAGATGCTCTGCTGGAGAAGGAGGGGAAATCTCCTGTGCCAGGCAGATCTGATTCCACAGCGTGCACACACACACACACACACACACACACACACACACACACCCCAAACAAAAACCCAGCATGAAGTAAAATAACTTTTAAAAAAATTTACAACGGGGAGCTCTGGTGGCCTAGTAGCAAGAAGCTGCACTGCAATCCCAGAGGCACACGGTTCAAATCCACCAGATGCTCTGCCTGGGAAGGAGGGACAATCCCCTCCTGTACCAGTCAGATCTGATTTGATGGTACACTCAAATAATACAATTTAAAAAAAAATTTACAAACAAAAATGAAAAAATATGTAGGAGGTAAACTATGCAAGCATCATACTAAATAAATAAATATTGGGGGTTTTAATGAAAAAAAAAAAAGATTAAGGCGTACTTGATTTTAAAAAGTCCTTGTCAGCAGATGTATTAGATTCAAAATATCATTTGATTTCTTAACTACTGCTTTCATAGATTTTAATGGTGGAATCAAATAAAATTAAGTCCATTCCAAAAAGTAATTTATTTCTTTATCTGTAAAATGCAGGATTCAAATGAGGAGAGCTCCACATTCAGTGAAAAACCAAATTTCTTGTTATTTCCAAGGTCTCTAGTTGTAGAGCCCCCCCTTTTATATGCATCGATATAAGATTACATTACACAGCTTATAATATCCCCTCATCCTTTTTTACACTACCAGATTTCATCCTTACTATGTTAAAATATTTTTACTCAAATATTTAATAATTTAAATTAATGCTCTGAGATTCATATATAAGTCTTTGTGACTTAGTTTTTTGGTGTCTGTGGTGTGTACGTGTAATTAAGAACTGAACTAGCCCCTTTTAGTCATACCTTGCACCTTGGCTTTTCTTAAAAAATGGAAGGAACAAAGTGTAGCTTTTTATGGATCCAGAGAATGTCATGTTTGTTTAGTAAGATTGCTGTTGTTGGGAGGTAAGCTGCCAGGCTCAAACTCTGGAGTAAACAGAACATTTTCACTTGTTATTTTCATTACAGTGGCTTGAATCAAAGGTCAAAGGAGAAGCATGTTTTTTTTCCTTTCCTTCTGTAATCTAGAGAATGCATTATTGCTGCCTCCATTTCTACAAAATAACCCATCTTTAAAAAGTTGAAGACAAAACACTGTTAGAGATGAAACAAACTGAGTGAGGATCATCAGTTACTCTGTGTACTGAAATGTACTTTGTAGCAGGATTGGTCTAACGTGTCATTTTGGTTTCCCTGTGTGCTCCCTGTGTTCACTGATGGCACAATGGTGAGTGCGCATCTGCTAACCGAAGGGCAGAGCACACCAGCCACTTCACAGTTGTCACACAGCCTTGGAAACCCTAAGGGGAAAGTTCCACTCTGTTTTATAGGGTCTCTAATAAGTAGGTTTTATAGAGTCTCTAATGAGTGGGAGTTGACTCAATGACATTGGGTTTAATACACGTTTTGGTGTGTTCAGAAAGCTTGGGAGGTGTACTATACAGGAATGAATTCTGGAATCAGGCTGATATGTGTGCACATTTATTAACTTTGAAACCTTACACATTACCTCACAGTTGCCAGACATCTTATGTCTGATTCCTAAAATGAGAAAGTAGGGCCAATCATTTCCAACTATCAGGTTGTTATTATTATAAGAATTAAATGATATGATAAATGTAAAAGGTCTCAGAGTGGTGGGGTCAGGGTTCCAAAACCAAATCCTCTGTTGTCAATTCTGACTCATGACGACCTTCCATTAGTTTTCTGAGCCTGTAAATCTTTATCGGAGGAGACAGCCCACCTATCTCGCATGGAGCAGCTAGTGGATTCCACCTGCTAACCCTTCAGTCAGCAGCCTAGCACATAGTCCACTAAGCCACGAGGGCTCAGGCCTTGGGGTCGGGGTGCTGGTACTTTGTAACTGTAGAAACTCCTACATTTCCTTTTCAGTTAGGCTCTTTTGTTTACAAGAAACAGATTTACTCTTCTACCTTGGTGGTTGTTTTTGGTGGTGGTGATGGTGGTGGTGGTGGTTGTCAGAACTGATTCATACCTGACCCTCCAGTGGCTTTTCAGAGGCTGTCCATCACATGAAAGGAGATTGCCCATATTTTCTCCATCAGAGCAGCTGGTGGATTCAAACCACTTACCTTTGGGTTTGCAACTCCTTACCACTAGGTCACCAAAGGTCTTTGCTACCCTAAGGAAGATTTATTGTGAAGTCACTCCTGACCCAGAACTGTAACTCTAGAAACTACTACTCTTTCATTGGCCATATGGTATCTTATTGTTCTCGGAACAAAGTACAGATTTTTTTTTTTTAAACCATAGGTTACAAGGCCTTACATGATCTAGTCTCTGCCTCCTATTTCTTTTTCTGATATTATTACATGCATTCCTCTAATTACTCTTCACAGCTCCTAAGTAGTACAAATGTTTAAGCATCTGCTAAAGGCCTGGTGATCTACTTGACAGTGTTTCACACTGCCAGCCTTTTGATTAGCAGCCAACTACTGTGCAAATAAAATGTGACTTCCTCAGTGAGACAAGCCTTTTTGTCTAAACTTGTCTAAAGAAGGCTATGCTCCATTTAAATGGAATTTGAATGGCTTTTAGCTACATGTGCATTCCGATTTCTGCAGTACTCACTACTCCCTCTTACGAAACCAGTTATTAATGAGTTTGTTGTCTTTGACTTACTTCTACAAGATAACTTTGGTTATTTTTTTGCATAATAGTGTATCTTTAAACGAAATACATATAACTTTAGTTTAAATTCTCTTTAATTTGGTGTCTGCTGTTCACAAGTGCTGTCTAACATGGTAGCTGTGTGGCTACTACATGGAATGTGTGGCCAGTGTGGTGAGGAACTGAATTCTAAATTTTATCTCACTTTAACTTAAAAGCTGATAATTGAGTCAATAATTGGAAAATTAAGTATTTGGAACAATTTGAGTATTGAACTTTCAACTACAACTTGATAAAACATGTTTTCAATGACAATACCTAGATCAAGCTGTGTTAAAAGCATAAAATATACACTGGGTTCTGAGACTTAATGTGAACTGTAAAATATCTCAGTAATAATCTTTCAAATTGACTATATGTTGAAATGGTAAGATTTTTAAAATATATTCAATAAAATAGATTTGTAATTAATTTTACCATTTTACATTTTTTAAAAAGGCAGTTTTATAACTTCTTTGATAATCAGCTATTAGTTTTTATCTACATTGTAGATTTTTGAAAGTAGTGACAGGTACATAGGTAACATAGCTTGTTTGGGGAATCTTTATCTTCATTACATTTTCTGCACAGTTGCACACAGATACAGTATGGGACAGTCCTTATTCCTTTGGCCCAGTTTTATTTAGCCTAGTGTCAACATACACATCTGATGTTCCCTCTCCTTCATGGCAAATTTCCAGAACTCCTTGAGTGTCCCAGGGAGCACTCCTCAAAGCCCACTCCATGGATGTTCTCTTGTGAATGTTACTGGTATACTCACTCTACTCTTTGGTCACCATTTTGTTGATAGAGAATGAACCTTCTTTTTATCACCCTTCTTTTCAGGAAGCATAGTGCTGGGACTAGGTTGGGAAAGAAGCATTTACTTTTAACTTGGCTATTTCTTGTTGTTTACCATCGAGTTGGAACTGACCATAGCTAACTTGCTGTTGGGTTTTCAAGGGCAGTTAATCCCATGGGAGGAGATTGCCCATCTTTATTCCATGGAGCATCTGGTGCATATGAACCAAGTGTCTTCAGAATTGCAGTGCAGCTTCTTTCCACTAGACCACCAGAGCTTCCTTAATACAGCTACTAGTAAACTTAAAATTACATATGTAGCTTGCTTGATATTTCTGTTGGTCAGGTGCACTAGACTGATGAAGGGAGGAACTCTCTCTCATGTTCATTGATGCTCCCAGTGCCTAGAATGATGTTTGATCCATAGTAGCTGTGTCATACATATTTGAAGCCAAGAAATGGCAAAATTAATGGAGACCTCATTCATTAGGTCTCCATTAATTTTGCCATTCATGGAGTATAGTCAGGCAAATAGCAAAGGGAACAATACATTAGAAAACAAAACATAAGAGAGCATATTCAAGTATTTGTTAGTAAGAGCAGTAGATGGTGGGAACTCAATTTCAGTGTGACCAAAGTATAATATGGTAACGTTGAAAGCCTTGGGAAACAAAAGAAAGAGCACTTCTTTCTAAGGTGTGGAGTAATGTTAAGCTAGGCTTTTTCATGAGCACTTTGGGCTGGACCTTGTGCTGAGTGGGTATTCAAGGGAAACGGTGAGTATGGATAGAATAGTTCACATGTAAGCAAAGAAGCTGACATTATGCATCACACGGGGATCTGGAGGTCATCCTTTTGCAACCACAGTGAGATCTTCTTTCTCCTGTAGGCTGATGAATTTGTCCGAGCAAATGCTACCAATAAACTGACAGTCATAGCTGAGCAAATCCAACATTTGCAAGAACAAGCCAGGAAGGTAAGTAAAGGTGTTTAAGGATGGCTTTCATAGGCTGCATTTAGTTCAGAGGCTGACCTTGTTGTCAGTCATTTTAACTTGTCTTTAGTACCTCCTATAAATGTAGAGGTGTTAAACTATAAGGAGTAAGCTTGAGAGGTTATGTATAAGCTATATTTTATTCTTTACTGAAAGTTCAGAGATTAAGCATTTTGAAGGAGGAAAAGGTTTAGTCATAAAATAAATATATTCATTACAGAAGAATAATGTTGTTATGTGCCGTCGAGTTGCTTGTGACTCATAGCGACCCTGTACCCAACAGACCTAAACCCTGCTCTATCCTGTGCCAATCTTATTTTTTCTCACACATCTACCTTCATTACCCTAGTCACTGAATCAATCCATCTCATCGAGAGTCTTTCTCTCTTGCACTGTCCCTCCACCCTCCCAAGCATGATGTCCCTCTCCAAGGACTGGTCCCACCTTGCAACATGTAGAGCTATCCAAAGGCACTAATGGTGAACATTTTACAGTGTATTTTTGTAAAGGCATTTTTACAGCTTAGCAGCTTGTTTCCCTAGAATCATCTGTATTCCACTAGTAATTCATTATTTTGGGTGAGCAAGCACCTCAGCTCTAACTAAGCATTGAGCAATTTCCGGCTTTCAACTGGCATGATTGCAGCTTTTGAGTACTTGTTACCTACCTAATTTACTGTCTTTATGATTCCTAGGTACTGGAAGATGCTCGCAGAGATGCCGACTTGCATCACGTAGCTTGCAATATTGTGAAAAAACCTGGCAACATTTACTACCTCTATAAACGAGAGAGTGGTCAGCAGTATTTTTCCATCATTTCTCCAAAGGTAGGAACAATTATTCTTTGCCCAAAAAATCTACTGTAGCCTTTGAGATTCTCTTGGAATGTGAAAATGTAGGCACAAGGGTTGGTGGATGATTTTCTAGAAACCATTAAGGGCTAGCGTGAGCCCAGACAAGACTCTAAAACATTTTTTAAAAAAAAAGAAAGAAGAACCCAGATTGATTGCTGTCAAGTTTGACTTACGGTGATTTCTTGTGTGATAGAGTAGACCATTCACAGAATGTTCTTTGTAGTGATCTTTATGGAAGCCATTCATAGGTACTATCTTGACAGAATAGCAGTCTATAGTAATCTACCTTGCTTCTCCTTAGGTTCACCAATTACAAGTAACAGTTAATTCTAACTCCCTTTCTCTATCCTAAGGTTCTAGAACTCACTCGCTGAGTCAGAACCAACTAATAGCTGACTGTCCAGCAGGTTTCCAGGATTGTAAATCATGTGAGAGAAGATTGTCTGGGTTTTTAATCCCCATTGAGCTGCTGGATGGATCTGAACTGCCAACCTTTCAGGTGGCAGCCAACGTACTCAAAATATTTCACAGTCATTAGTTCTGTTCAGGGAGGTATCTGATGTGTAACCTGATAGTTTTCCAGGGAGGTCCTGACTAGTCAGAAATGAAAAGCCAAAAGAAAATGAAAAAATTAAGAAGTTCCGTTTGTCTGCACCCTACCCTGATGAGAACTGACTCTTTTGTCTTCTCTAGGAATGGGGTACAAGTTGTCCACATGACTTCCTTGGTGCCTACAAGTTACAGCATGACTTATCCTGGACTCCATATGAGGACATTGAGAAACAAGATGCCAAAATCAGCATAATGGACAAATTGCTAAGCCAACCAATGGCCTTGCCTTCATGCACTGAACCCAATTTCCAGGGACTGACTCACTGAGAATGGACTCTGCATCACAGCTCTCAATGGCCTCCCCGTTGCCCACCCTTTACCTTGAGAGGAGCTGTCATGAGAATTGAGGGCCATGAGGGTAAATCATGAACTTCTTGGAAGGACACCCTGTGTAAACACTGTCATTATTTTCCCTCGGGATGGTGATGAATTACACTGCTCTGTTTTAGAATCTTCTCAGGGTCATAGATAATCAGCCAGCCAGTTTCAGGGTACAGGCCACGGTACTTACCCTCTCTAAAGCATTTAGAAAAAAAAAGCTGCTTCTTCCCTCAAAAGAGGGGATGAGTCATTTTCCAGAGGGCTATTTACAGTTTTTTCTAATTAGAGGTGTTGAAGATTGGGATTGAAGTTATTTGACACTTGCCTATAAAGTGACAGAACTCCAGTTTCATTTTGGTTGGGTAATAAGGAAGCCAAACAGCTTGGCATGGGTGGATTTGATTTAATCCTGGTAAGTAAGACCCTAACTGGTGCCCTTGCAAGCTCTTCTTTGTCTTCTCAAGTCCCTTCCATGGTCATAAGCTGGATCTTTAGAAGATCCCAATCTTCACTATTGGTAATTCATAATCAATGGAACAGGAAAAGTGTGTTCTGGTGCCCTAGTTCACAGGGAGTTGCACTGCTAACCCAAGGCCATTCAGCATCTGGTGGTGGTAAGGGAGAAAGGTGAGCAGTCCCCTCCCAAGCAATTTTCAAATCTCAGAAACCCGGTGGAGTGTCATCTAGGAGTTTGGTTCCAATTGAGTTGAAGTTTGGAAGGGATTCAGTAGGCTCTGCTCTGTGCACTGACCACCAGGTGGTGCCATCACTCTCTCTTGTTTAAGTGAATGTATTTTGAGACTTTCAGTGGCAGTGTGAGGCGACTTTGGAGGTAACATCTCTGGGGGATTAGGATCCAGAGATTATATTCAGTAAGCACTTTTCACACCCAAGCATCTATCCAGCAATTTAGTATAGTGTCTTCTAGGCTCTTGGTTCTGAAATTAATAGCTGAATTAAAGGCTTCTATTTTTAAGACACCCAGTCTAGTTGGAGAGAAAGCAAGTCAAGTCAGCATTTATGTTATGGCATAAGAAGGATGACAGAGGTGTGCATGAACTATTATGGAGCACCAGAGATGGATACCTTGGAGAATCTAGGAAGACTCCTTAGAAGGAATGAAATCTACTCCAGTGTTGATGAGCAAATAGGAGTTAGGGCTTGTTTGGAAGCTCCAATTATCCAATATAGGAAGGTTGTCTTCTTTGATGGTTGAGTTATGTTCACTTTTGGATGGAATTTGTTAATGGAGGAAAGGACATCCAGTTAGCAAGTCATGTCAATCAAAGTAATAGGCAATCAGGGGTAGACTGAGATGTCCTAGCTAGGAAACACTTAGTTCTAAAAGCTAGGAGATAAGAATGGGAAGAGAGCATCCAGACCGGATATAGCATGTGAGGGCATTGACAAGATGCAATGTGACATTTGAGGAATTGTAACCAAATCTAGAGTGAGCAGTGTGGGCCTGAGGCTATGGGAGGAGAGCTAATTGAAACACTGGGAGTAGGCGGTTGAAAACATCATTTAGAGACCCTGTTCTGCCAGCAGAGGGGGAATGGAGGAAATACCATTATAGAAGGCTCCATCCCTGGTCCAGGAAAGAGATGATCAAGGCTGAGCGAAGCCAGCTGTAGTGGAATAAAAGTACCTCATTTTGTCAAGTGTAAGTTGTACTTTCCCCATCTCCCTTCATTTTAACATCAGTGAAACCTGGATGTTTCTAACAGTCATTGGCATGTCATACATAATTGCATTTTAGAGATATAAAACTGTATGTTAGACCTGATAGTGTCTTGTTGTATGCTATCAAATTAGAACCAACTCAGCTGACTGTCCAGCAGATTTTCAGAGTTAGTAAATCGCATGGGAGGAGATTCCAACCTTCTTCCACAGAGCAGCTGGTGGATTCAAATGTGTCTTTGAAATTGCAGTGCAGCTTCATACCACTAGACCACTAGATCTCCCCTTGATAGTGTCTTAGACTGGATGATATATAGCATTTTGAAGGTATAATTGATTGCTGTCTTACCTAGTTAAGATGGAGATTTTTTAGAGAAAAGAATCTTAGACACTGCTTGAGTGACTTGTCTGTCTATGAGTTGTAGGAATCTACTCAACAAAACATGGAAGACACACATGGCATTTTCCAGAATAGCAGTCTAGTAATCAACCTTGCCTCTCCTTAGGCTCACCAAGTACAGGTAACAATCCTAACTCCCTTTCTCCATCATAAGGTTCTAGAACTCACTGAGTCAGAACCAACTCAGCTGACTGTCCAGCAGGTTTCCAGGGTTGTAAATCACATGAGAGAAGACTGTCTGGGTTTTTAATCCCCATTGACCTGCTGGTAGATTAGAACCATCAGAGAGGGGCCACCCGGAGTGAGCAGTGCAGCCCTCTATAGGCTTTGCCACCATAGTTCCCTGAGGCTCTAGAAAGGGGAGGGGGGAGGTCACTGTGTCTTTATTCTATGACTAGTCAGTCCACAAACATTGTATTGGTGTAGATACACAGATGATAAATACTGAGTTTTTAATTCTGCCAAGCATATACATCATCTCATTTACTTTTCACACACCCATATTACGGGATTTATAGTTTTATATGTTTTGCAGAGTGGACTTAGGCTCATAGAGAGTAAGCACATTGGTCCATGATTATTTAGATAGTAAGTGATAGAAGTAGGTCTCAAACCGAGGCCTACTTGATTCAATTCTGACCATAACCATAACTCTGTTTCCACAATTACGATAGTCTAGAGGATTTCAGTCCAGAGGAAATGGCTATAAAGGTATCAAACTGGCGGATAGATGTGCACGAGGTTCTGTAGGAGTGTTCACTTGGTGTTTACTGATTCCATTTCTGCTAAGCATGCAGAGAATTCATGAACATTATGATCTGACAAGTGGTTAGTTTCTAATCAGGGGCTCATAAAATTAGGATGCAAATCAACCTGAGAAGTAACTTATCTGAGGTCACTTGTCTAGGAGCCCACAAGTCCCTGGCATTGATGCCCATGTGCAAACACCCCTGTGAGCCGGAGCTTCTGCATCAGTAGACCATACCCTACTTGAAAGCTTTTTCTTCATTTTAACTCTACAAAATAACCATCTCCTGTTTGCCTTCGATTTTGACAGCATCTTTTGTTTCCTGGCCCTCCTCTTTGTGACACCCACACTCAACTCCTTTGATTCAGGTCCTTGCCCCCTCATCAGTCCTGATCTCACCCCATGTTTCAAGCTGACTTGTTTTCCACAGCTCTACGTGACATCTCCACTTGACTCATTTCCAAGCTCTTTCAAACTTAATGTGTTCAAAACTAAGCACCTGAATTTTCCAAAGCCCCTTTCAGTGCCGGTTATCTCACTTCATTACCACCTATCATCTTGCTGCTGAGGCTAAACTCCCAAATCTTCTTTGATTCCATCTATTCTTCCTACACCAATAAATAATGGAGTGCTGGTGACCTAGTGATAAGAAACTGCATTGCATTCCCAAAGGCATGCAGTTTGAATCCACCAGCTGCTGTGTAATCTCCTGTACTATTTATTTACTGACTCTATTTCCTGGCCCACAGGAGGTCAGCTATGGGTCCGTTCTGACTTGACAGCACATGAGACCACCACCAATAAACAGGTGACTTGGTTTTACTTTGGTTCACCAACAAATTGTTGTTATGTACCATGGAGTCAGAATTGCAAGAAAAGAAATTGCTGATCTTTCTCCCATGGGACGGCTGGTGGATTTGAACCACAAGCCTTCATGTTTACAGCATAACTCCTTATCACTAGACCTCCAGAGTTCACCTCCAATGCACATCTGAAATCTAACTGTTGCTCACTCTCCTCACAATTACTCCCTTAGTCCATGCCACCAACATCATTAATCTGGACTAATACAGTAACTTCCCAATTTGCCTCCGTTATTCATTCTATTCAAAGACTGTAAGAATTATCTATTCCAAATACGACTCAGATTACAACATCTCTACTTAAATATATCCCAAGAGTTTCTCAATACCTTAGAATAAGACCATAATTTCTTGTCTTGTTTCTGAGTGTTCTTATTACCCTGTAGTCACTGTGTTTCTCATACACTGGCTTTGCTGTTCCTAATAATCACCAAGCTCCCTGCTTTAGGGCTTTACATTTGCTTTTCCATCTGCCTGAAGAATTGCTTCACAACCTCTGCATGTTGTTGTTTTGTGCCATTGAGTCACTTGCGACTCAGAGTGACCCTATGTACAAACAGCTCTGAACCCCGCCCTATCTTGAGCCAACCTCATTGTCTCCTGCCACACCTACACCCATTATCCCAGTCACTGAATCAATGCATCTCATCCAGGGTCTTCCTCTCTTGCCCTGTCCCTCTACCCTTCCAAGCATGATGTCCGTCTTCAAGGACTGGTCCCTCCTTGCAACATGCCCAAAGCATGTCAGACAGAGCTTCAAAATCCTTGTCTCCAGGAGATGAAATCAGTGAAGTGGGGAAATGACAGCCTTTTTAACAAATGGTGTTGGCAAAATTGGAAAAATATCTGCAAAAGACTCAAGCAAGACCCACACCTCACTCCATACA